CTAATGAAGGTAAATCCAGGAAAGCGCCTCGAACGCATATAAATTATAAAGTGTTGTCCTAATGAAGGTAAATCCAGGAAAGCGCCTCGAACGCATATAAATTATAAAGTGTTGTCCTAATGAAGGTAAATCCAGGAAAGCGCCTCGAACGCATATAAATTATAAAGTGTTGTCCTAATGAAGGTAAATCCAGGAAAGCGCCTCGAACGAATATAAATTATAAAGTGTTGTCCTAATGAAGGTAAATCCAGGAAAGCGCCTCGAACGAATATAAATTATAAAGTGTTGTCTTAATGAAGGTAAATCCAGGAAAGCGCCTCGAACGCATATACATTATAAAGTGTTGTCCTAATGAAGGTAAATCCAGGAAAGCGCCTCGAACGCATATAAATTATAAAGTGTTGTCCTTATGAAGGTTAATCCAGGAAAGCGCCTCGAACGAATATAAATTATAAAGTGTTGTCCTAATGAAGGTAAATCCAGGAAAGCGCCTCGAACGAATATAAATTATAAAGTGTTGTCCTAATGAAGGTAAATCCAGGAAAGCGCCTCGAACGAATATAAATTATAAAGTGTTGTCCTAATGAAGGTAAATCAAGGAAAGCGCCTCGAACGAATATAAATTATAAAGTGTTGTCCTAATGAAGGTAAATCCAGGAAAGCGCCTCGAACGAATATAAATTATAAAGTGTTGTCCTAATGAAGGTAAATCCAGGAAAGCGCCTCGAACGTATATACATTATAAAGTGTTGTCCTAATGAATGTAAATCCAGGAAAGCGCCTCGAACGCATATAAATTATAAAGTGTTGTCCTAATGAAGATTAATCCAGGAAAGCGCCTCGAACGCATATAAATTATAAAGTGTTGTTTTCATTTTCCATGATTTTACCAAAGATAACTCAAGGGATGAGTATAATTTCCTTAATACATAAAACCTATATATCTATATATATATAAATTCATTTAAGATTGGAATCTACTCCAGAAAGTAAAAGAAACCTGATGAGCCTTATCGTTATAGACTAGCTATCCTTGGGATTTATAATGTAGTGTTGTGTTTAAGTATATGGTATGTAGCTCTAATTTTGCAGAAGGTTCCGTTCATATGACTGCTTCTTTTGGCAAGATTTTGAGTTCATATGATTGTTTCTTTTAACAAGATGTTCCGTTCATATGATTGCTTCTTTTGCATTGATATGATTGATTCTTTTATCAAGATGTTTTTTCATATGGTTGCTTCTTTTGGTAGGATTTTGCGTTCGTATGATTGTTTCTTTATGCAAGATGTTCCGTTCATATGATTGATTTTGTGGCAAGATATTTTGTTCATATATTGATTTTGTGGCAAGATGTTCCGTTCATATATTGATTTTGAGGCAAGATTTTTCGTTCATATGGTTAATTTTGTGGCAAGATGGCCCGTTCATATGATTGATTTTGTGGCAAGATGTTCCGTTCATATGATTGATTCTCCATGTTTTTCTGACAATGTATTAGCCATACATTGAAGAAATTGCACAGACTACAGTAATTAAGAATAACAACAAAACCTATATTTTTTTGGTTTTAGCATAAATCAGACCGTTGTCTTTTCTTTTGAATTGTTTCACATTTTTTCATGCCAGGACGTTCTATAGCTTACTATACTGTATGGGTTTTGCTCATGTTAACTTGAAGGTCGTACATTGACCTATAGTTGCTTACATCCACGTCATTTTGTCTCTGGTGGATAGTTGTCTCTGGTGGATAGTTGTCTCTGGTGGATAGTTGTCTCATTGGAAATCATACCACATCTTATTATTATACTGGGATCGGTTTATGGAGTTGTGCACACAAACTAGCTTTGTGCTTTCCTTTCTCTTCCTTTTTTTGTACAAAACACATAATTTAAAAAAATAAACTAACCAAAAAGATCCTGGATACATTTTAAGATATGTTCGAATGAAAGGAGATATGAGGTAAACGTTAATGAGATGACAACCGAACTACACACAAAACACAAAAACTACACACAAAACACAAAACTACACACAAAACACAAAAACTACACACAAAACACAAAATATTTAAGGTCAACATACAGAATACAATTCGAACCGACATTTTTTTGAAACATTATCTGGTCTAGATTCTTCAGCATATTGTTTTAGATACTTGCAACAAGAAGTTTTGTAATCGATATTATATAGTTCAACTTAATGACCTTTATTAATCAATTTCCCTTTTTTCATTGTATTTCCTACAAGATATAAATGAGAAGTTACGTATTTCCCGATTTCTTTTATGAAAAATCCGTTCACAGATAAAAATTTTAATTAAAATCTAAAGCTTATCAAATTAGTTGATAAATTCAAATAAAATTGTTAACATTACACGGCCAATATCCGGATAAATCATCGACAGCTCTGTCTGTATCCTTATATAACCCACACACTATATACAGGATTTAGTCCTCTTGTCGCCATACTTTAATGTTTTCTCTTTTCTATTGACACCACAGGTTGTATTTTATGCAATATTTTGTAATATAAACATTACGCATACTTTCTGCATTTTACCAAGATTCAAGATCAAAACTTTTTTCACATCTGTCGTGGTATTTTTCTAAATTTGTATATAGGGTATTCGGATTGGCTTAATAGTACAATTTCACTTTTCCGGTAACATTTCTATTTCCCGTACAAATAAAAAAAAACACATCTATAATCCGCTATGTGTTATCTAAAACTACGAGTTTTATAACTGTTTAGCAGTAGTCATATATTATTTGGAATCTTATGATCAGAGAATAGTATATATAAGTGAAAAATCTTGGGTCGTACGCTTTCTGCTTACAATAATTTCGACAATGAATAGATCAATGTGATATAATCTACAAAACAGAGAATACGTTTGTATGTGTGTTCTGAAATTTGAAAGTCATTTTTCATTTTTACTGATTTTTGGGTTTTTATTCAAATATACTGCATGAATATTGTCTTTGTTAAAGTTGACTTTTAAGTTGATAAACTGATGATTTGAAATGAAAACAACTGGGGGGAGTAAGATATCAGGTATCAGCAATTACTTCTGAAGTTCTTTGGATGATCTTTGAAAAAATATGTCAGCTGAAAGTATTTCTCTTGTGTCTTGGAATTGAAATGAATTCAACTCCACACTGTCAGCGCTTGACAAGAAGTAACGAATAGTTTTGTCAAATACATATTTGAGTAAAACTAATAAAAGTGAATTTCTTTAGTTGAAATCGAATCGATGCGATTTGAAAAATCTCCTTTCTATGAGAATAAGGCTGCTCTGGGAGTATTGTTTGGGGTGTTTTGGTTTACAAAGGCTGCTCTGGGAGTATTGTTTAAGGCTGCTCTGGGAGTATTGTTTGAGGTGTTTTGGTTTACTTTCACAAAGGCTGCTCTGGAAGTAATGTTTGAGGTGTTTTGGTTTACTTTCACAAATGGTGCTCTGGGAGTATTGTTTGAGGTGTTTTGGTTTACTTTCACAAAGGCTGCTCTGGGAGTAATGTTTGAGGTGTTTTGGTTTACTTTCACAAAGGCTGCTCTGAGAGTATTGTTTGAGGTGTTTTGGTTTACTTTCACAAAGGCTGCTCTGGGAGTATTGTTTGAGGTGTTTTGGTTTACTTTCACTAAGGCTGCTCTGGGAGTATTGTTTGAGGTGTTTTGGTTTACTTTCACAAAGGCTGCTCTGGGAGTAATGTTTGAGGTGTTTTGGTTTACTTTCACAAAGGCTGCTCTGGGAGTATTGTTTGAGGTGTTTTGGTTTACTTTCACAAAGGCTGCTCTGGGAGTATTGTTTGAGGTGTTTTGGTTTACCTTCACAAAGGCTGCTCTGGGAGTATTGTTTGAGGTGTTTTGGTTTACTTCACAATCGATTGGTACAAACTTGCTTTCTATGGTTATAAATAAGAATCAGTTATCGGTTTGTTTGTTCCCTTTTAAGCCAAATGAGAAAAAATCAAATGAATATAAAAGCCTTTTATTTGCAACAATGAAGCAAGGGCAACCAAGATTCAATAAACTTAATGATAATTTAGTATGTAATGACAAACCAAAACAAAATTTAAAAGAAACACAAAATAAAAAAGAAAAACCAGCACACCGTTTATCAAAATCCCCCAAATCAAAATGTAGCCAAGAGCCAGAAATAATACTCAGCATAGCAACACAAAACCCAACAAACAATGTAATAACAGCAAAACAAGAATTCTAGAAAAATGTAAGAAGCAAACTTGATTGTTTCAAATAAAGATTTTTCTATTTTATGTTTCCTTAAAAGTTACTTATGCTTTTCTTACGTACAGTAGTTATGCATAGAACAACTTGAACATTAGTTTATGAATAGATGTGCATATAGTATTTTCTGATCTGGGTAAATATGTGCGGTAGATATTAAAGAAACCTGTTTTTCAATAACACGCGATCATCTCAGTCTGTTTTTAATATATTTGGTATAACTAAATACAGTAGATGGCCGTATATGTTAGTTTTAATATTAATACTTCCATGAGCGGAACTGAAATAAGAATTATGTAAACTTTATGAATTCCAAAAAGTTTTTTACCTTTACCGTACGTAAAGATTTAATACCTGAATCGGATGTACACTTATCAATCTTTGGGGCGGGATTTGAATTTTGATAAGACTGTAGCAGTTATTGCAAAACCTCTTATCTTTTTTTCATATCGGTCATAACAGTTTAAATCACGTGACTACCCAAAATCAATATTACCTTAATCAGTTCTTCAATTTGATTTATTTTCTGATACTGTTTATGAAGCCACTTTCCAGGTAAAAAATGGACTATGACATCAAGTTATTCTCTCACTTCAAGAGAATAGATTGAAAAGAATACTATATTCAGACGTGGAATACTTTATACCGTGTATTTGTGAAACCATCAGGTTTTCGTTTATTCTTTATCAGCAGCATTATTTCTTTATACATTGTTTTGTTGACATTGGGTTTTTTATGGACACCATGTAACATTTTAGAGTGAAAAAGTGGGATTTTATTGAAATATCATTTTTTGTATACCCTTGTTCACATTACCGATGTTGGATCTAGCAGCAGAAACTATGCCCACCCCCGCAAAACGCGTGTGCAGAGAAACTAACGATGAAGCGGAAATAACATCCATAGAAGTAACTGCTGAGAACGGATCCCTGTCGCATAACAACAATAATGATGATAAAAGTCGAAAAATTATAAAAAATGGCTTAAAGTCGGGTAAGAACTCTTTCTACATTTGTAAACATTAAATCACTTAACTGATCATAATACTTCAGTTTTTTTGCAAGGTAATTGTTTGTATAATAATTATTCCGTAATGTATATAGTTTACTCTATGTCATATTTTGTTTACACACATCTTATAATGATGATAAAACCATTATTTCCTGGTGTTCGATATATATTGTAGTACGTTCCTAAATATCCAAAATACTGGAGAAAGTCTAATGCCACCGTAACTACCTCCCTCCGTGCTAACGGAGGCAGTCAGACCTCAGACCAAAGTACTTTAAGTATTCACTTCAAATAACAACTTATGATTCTACCTTTAAGTATATTTATTTTCTCGTCTTTTCACACTTCGAACATTATTTTTCTACATATTTATTACTGGGATTTATAGCGGGTAGATATTGAAATATTTTATTATTGGCTTTTAAAGAAGATATTTCTTTTTAAATAACTGCATTAAAATTGTTAAAGTAGAATTTGCTACAATAAATTTAACATTAAGTAGGGTTATAATAGTTATATAAACATTTAACTTCTTCTTTTATTGCATGAGAAAAATATGACCATGTCAAAATTATGTAATTCTACATTTTTTATGAAATGTTTGAATATTTTCAAATAATAAGTCGTTTCTACTGTCTATTGTTGGGGACTTGAAGGTCATCTAAATGTCCTTAATGTTTAATATTTTATGGTTTCTTCCGTTTTTTTATATTTCTGTATTTTTTATTTATCTGTTTATTTCATTCTTTTTTTTTTTGTTTATTATCTTTGTAAAACTATTGCTTTATATCTTATGGAAAATGCATTTGCTTATTTTAACAATTTACTTATATATATTTTTACGTCTGACTCATAAGATGATTCGTACCTTTATGAGTCCCTAAAAGTTTTATTTTGAAGATGAAATATATTTCTATAGCCTCTTTAATATTCATTCTCTGTTATGTCCCTGTATGTATTTCCGGGCTAATTAGATGTTGTAGTCCCCTTACACTTGAATTTTTCTCACGATATTTTCAAAACTGATCATAATTCTAAAGTTTTTCTATCAATATCTTAGGTTCGTGCTGGAAATTTGCTCCTTAAATCTTGACCCAAAATCACATTTTATCATTTAAATCGATAAGAGACAATATAATGAAATGTAAACCTTTATTAAAAAACAAAACACAACAGTGGATTTTCTCTTATCCAAACATCCGCATGAAAATTGACAAATTTTGAAAAATGTGTAAATTTACTTAGACTAATTTTACTGTCATAAAAAATATAAAACTAAAGGTAGAAAACAGCAGGCTACACACACGTATTGTGTCATATTTGTTCTAATCAAAGTACTTGAATGTATTATCTGTTAAACCAAAGCTTGACATCCATCTTGAGAATTAGATTTGGTATGTTTGCTTGTTAGGTACAATCACGTATCATTTTTTTCGACATTAGGTAATAGACGTTGGTCAACTTAAGCAGGTATGGAGAGTTTCTCTGTAAGAATCGGAGAATTTTATTTAAATAGTGAAACTGAAATAAATGAACAAATACTGCTAAAATCGTTGTGGGTATAGTTGAAGTTTAAAAAAAATCTGTATTGGGAAACTTATTTTATGTGTGCATTTGAGGACAAATTTAAACCTTCCGTTTTTATATGTTTTAATATGCGTATTTCTGCATTACCTTTTCCAGGACTGTTAATTGCCAATGAAAGTGAAATAATAACATGCTGATATGAATTAAAAAGTAGAATTCAGTGCAGTCGAAATTCAATATATTTTTACTTCTCTAAAGAATTGTAATTACCGAGAAAATGGACATAAAAATATATTCGACTTGAAAGTCTATGTTATCCAATTGTAGTTCAAAAAATTTTCTGTAGTGATTATATTCCTTGTTTCAAAATCATTTTCAATTGCAAACAATAAGAGTTTGTTTTACTAACATACATTTTTTATAAGATTTAAAGGATTGTCGGTGCATGTACACAGTGGCTTTCATATTTCCTAAAATAAATTGAAATCCTTTTATCAAGCAGAAATATTATGTTTGGTATGATTGACATCGTAATATGAATCGTGTAACAGTTCAAAACAAAGGTGTGGGAAACAGTGGCTGAACTTTAGTTTGATTCATATTCAGAAGTGGGATATTTAGACAAACATATAGAATTATGAAAATATTATTTGAAAAGGTTTTTAACATCTGTGGTTTCTAGCGAAATTTACAATGTTTTCTAAATGTGACTTGCTATTTAATCTGGAAATATTATAAACAAGACAGAAAACAACATGTAAATTAACGAAAACAACTGAAGTTTATTTTTTTACAAATATTAATTCAACTTAAATCTTTCTATGGGAATTCATGTGTCGCAATTTACTGTGAAAAGACACGTGTACATAGATATACTAATTGTACTGTATATTCTCTGTAAATTCGTACCAAAATTTTCGTTTAATGGTCATAAACAAAACTAGACAATATTTTAGAATTGACATTTTTATTACTTGAATTGGTATTTCACTTTATCTATTAAACTTCATTTAATTTCGATAACTTGAAGATAAAGACAATGTTTTGATAGTAATTATAATAATTAAGAACTTTACACATTTATATATAAAACGTAATAAACATTATCTACGGTATTAATTACAATTAAAACAGAATGACCTTTATATTTGTGCCGCCTTCATGTGGCTTGATAGTCAATATTTATCAATGTTTATATGGCTTCATTTTTATAAATAATTTGGCTTTTTACGAACAAACAACTGATAATACAACAATTACAAGGATCCCTTTTAAAATATACTGCACCAGTAACATTTATGTCTTTGGGTCTTTTTTTTTTTTTTTTTGCTTCCGCGCTACATATAAAACTTTTACACTCCTCCAATAAAATTACAAAAAGAAGCATTCAATTTTTAAGCATAATTGTTATTATTTTACTGTCACATTATTTTTTAGTAAATCATCTTTTAGGGCAATTCCACCAAATTAAATAAAAGCAAAATACAATTAAATGAAAGCAAAAATGTATCAATTGATATTTTGGTCATGCGCAAACCTTATTATTAATTGTATGATTTTTTACAGAATCTAATTTTTATTTGTAATTTTAAGTAACGGTTTTAAGCTTTTAGAAGTGGCTAGATAACGGTTTAGTGTGTTTGTTTTACTAGACAGTATAAACGTAGTTTTCTAACTGTCACTTGCCAATATTTTATCTTTTATCTACTGTTTTAAGGTATATGTTTCATGTCAGGGATAATTTTTTACTAAACAAGGTTTTAAGATGGGATTAAATGATAAATAAATAGGTCAATGTGATTATCTTTTAGAGTATTAATTAGTAGAGTGAGCAAAGTAAAATTTATTACTTAGAAAGAAAAGATCAATTTTGTCAAAGTCCAACATTTCTTTCAAACCTTTGTCCGTAAGCGAACTTAAAAAGAGAAAATCAGATCGGGGTTACTCATTTTATTTTGGACCTTAACATGGAAATGGAAATATAAATACGAAAAAAATCGTTGTAAAGTAACTTTGACAACTTCAAATATTATGATCAATGCTATGTCTTTGTAAAAGAAGTTTTACTGTCAATGTCCCAGGTTATGAGAAGCAAGCAGGTTTAACCCCTGGACCGTATAACATTTTGCATGTGCCTGTCCCAAGCCTGAAGTTAATTGGCTGTCGTAGGTTTGCTGTCTGCCGAAATTGTTTTGCTCAATGCTAAAAGCTTGAATTAGGCTGTTGGTTTTGTTGTATTCACTTTTCAACACATTGTAACTATATGCCTTTCATAGTTACTATACGGTATGGGTTTTGCTCAGTGTTGAAGGCCGTAAGGTTAATTGTAATTGTTAACATCCTTGTTGTTTGGTCTTTCGTGGATAGTTGCCTTATTAGCAAAAATACACCACATGTTTTTGTATTGAAAAGAAGTTTAATTTTGGCAGATTTCAAATTTGAATCCTCGATGAACATCAGACAATAAATATGATAGTAAAACATTTATCACAGTTTTCTCTTTTTTTTTTCTCGTTTTAAAAACAAGCAAATAAAACCAGGAAAAAAAAGGTACGATTTTGACTAGCGATTTGTTGACGTAGGTCTGTCCATAGGACTAGCTGTTATAAGTAGTAGCTTGTACTGTAAATAGTCTTCGATGTGCTGGTCTTTGCCTATTGGGTATTGCACCCGGTCATTTACTTCACATTTTAACACAGTCACTTCGACGTAGTACTAGTCTCTACCATAAAACATTCTGTAATTAGCTTTTAAAAGACGACTGAACTGTGGTGTAACACTAATACAAAGACATCACCACTTGCTTCCTTCTTAATCAAGTTTCAATGTCGAAAAAAGGAGAAATAAAACTTCCACTGAATACTAGTAGAAATACAAATGTATATATTTGCATTATTTTTTTTATTTTAAGTGAATGTAAACAAAGTTAACAATAAACTCGAACGAACGTATCAATTAAACAAATTGAATATAATATCATGAAGAAAAAGGTAGAGTGATACGTTTATCTAATGCACTAACTTTTTTCAATCCAACAATTAATTATGTATTTGTGAGGAGTTGTAGTAAGTAGTTAGAGACAGGAAAGCTAATACTTTACAATTTTAATATTTATTTTGCTATTCAGTAAACCATTGGTTAAATAACGGACCCTTGATAGAGAATCATTATGGACCCCACAGATTGATGACTTGCAGATATAATTAATTTACATAAGTCATATTTTAAAAAATAAATTAATTTGAATTATTTGCGTTCAATTTTTGTACAAAAGATATGTTAATATTATATAGAAAATTTTGAAAATTTGTATGAAATTGATATTCATTAAGAGCATATTCGAAGTGCGTATTTTGGTACAATTCTGTCACAATCTGGAACACTTCAGTTTAAATAAAGACGTCCTCACAGAGATTTTTCGCTTGGTTGATTTTATTTTTTGTTTAATTTTCAAGCATAGGAATCTTTCCCATACGACGTGGTTCTAGTCTTATCCTTTAAAATCAATATTTAGGTTCATTGTTTTGCAGGTCTCGTCTTCGTACTATCAACATGGTAAATGATTTGATTTCCCCGATATAATGTTGAATGTTATGCATAGAGTAACCACATTTTATCCACTAATATATTAAGACCTATTGACATCTTCTACCAATATACCCCAGCAATTTAGAATTTCAAGAAAATAATTAAATTTTTATATAAATGAACTTAACTGTTTGTTGATTTAGGCGTAACATCGTTTACGGGGATTTTGCAAATTTATGTTTATACCCTTGTCCGTCCTTCGTGATCCCGTCCATCTAAAATAAACCACCCTTCTTGTAGATAGTAACCTGTCGTTTAGTATGCTGGCATGTAGTTGTATAACGATGCGGAGTTTGCGTTTGGCGATGACTGTCATACTTTTGACGTAATTATCACAATTTTAATTGGTGGAAAACTTGTAAAAATTGTACCTGTTCATTTGAGATTTTAATGAAAGTTTTTCTGTCTTTTATTTTAATATAATGACATCGAAATACAATGTTATACGATTTTATTAGTATTATAAATTTTGGAGGAAGATTTTCCATCTTTCATTTTACTTTACTCACACCGAAACACAATGTTATCTATACGATTATATTTCCTATTCAAATTTTGGAAGGAGAAAAAATTCTTCTGGATTTTGAGCATGACATATTGCAAAAACACTTGCCTATCGTTGTAACTATATTTTGACCTCTAGGTATCGCCACCTATCAGTGTGCATTAATTGATCACTGGTATAATTTTAAAGAAAGGAGACGTGAGGTTTACTTAAAAGGGACAGCAATCCAACGACCTTAAAATAAAATAGTTAACATCGCACCTCTATATAATAAGCAATTCCACAATTTCAATGTCAAATTATTTTGTCTAGGATCTTTCCAACTGTTTTATTTGATGACTTGTTTTTTTTAAATTTTAAACGGATAAGTTTTTTACAAAGAAACTCATGTTAGATGTCAAGGTTAATTAGCTTTTCATGCACCTCTGATTCAAGGTCATATCGTCTTCTAATACAAACGTGATACAGATAATAAGACTAGAAATCCATACTGAAAGAATCACAAAAAATTCATAAATTTCGACGGCTATCATTTTAATAGATTTTTTGTTGTTGTTTAGTTTGTTTATTATGAATAACTACATTGTAATTAATCTGCCACTCAAAGGGCAACTTAATTGGTAATAAATCTATCTGTATCTAGTAAATATATGTATATAGCGACATTAGCTGTCTCTTTTAAAAAAAGACAAGAATAATTTAATGTGGTACGATATAATACAAGACACTAGACAATACTTCAAGTTGAAAAGACAAGTTTTGCACTCGACTAAGACCTTTTGATAAATCTAAGAACCGTCTTTACAGTAAACGACTATACATCATTTTATGAATAAAATGTTTGAGTCTAATCATCGTCCACTTTCAAACAACACCACCATCATCTTCAAAGAGGCTAGTTTATTCCTTATTTAATCCAAGAATTCACCACTATCAATTTAAATTGGACCACATTAAACATTTCATAAGCTGTTTGTTAGATTTTTCAATGGCCATGTTTAATCTTTGTGGAGATAGTAATCTCTGTTATCTTGGCGGGAATGTGTAAACTGCAGTCGTCTGCTGTGGTTACGTCAATCGGATGACATGCTCTTCATTAAAGTATGGACAAAACAATGAAACAATAGTTTTCTCTGAAGACATAAGTAGTTCCTTTGTTTTCACATCTAATTAAACGGGGAAAAGTTCATGAACTCTACAGACGCATCAACATTGTTGAATTTATCAGCGGGTTGTAGTATTCTGCCTGTATACATTTATTCGATCGCTAAATAATCAGAAAGAAGCCGTTAAACGAAAATTCGGATGCTTTTTATTCTATATGAGTAAGCAAACAATATGAAAAGTCAGAGAACATCGAGCCAAAATATTTGCAGGTTGGGAAGGTATTTTGGCTACGATTAATGGAACAGATCTATTGTCCTATATGAAGTTATTTTAAGTCAACCCAGTCATGACGTTCAATATATTTACTAAAGGAATGGCTTCAACTTTACCATTATGAATAATTGGTTCAGTCGATTCCTTGTCAGAAAACACACTCGTTTATTTTGTTGGACAAAATTAATGGACAATTGCAATTTAAGTGGACATGTTTTACATTATCTGATTGGCTAACATACATTTATTTGGCTCATATATGCACAAACAATTTATAGTTGTTGAAATTAGACATCTTTTTTGTGTAGCAGTACTGTTATAATATTACAACACAATTCTATCATAAACTAAGTAGCCATGTTTTTTTACCAGATCCTGTTTACCACTGTGCTGTTGGGTTTTATATAAAAGAAAAAGCTTATCCTTTCGATGCAATTGATTACAATTATGCTTCAATGAAAGTTCATGTTGATTAGGTAATCCTATCTGGCAATACTAAATAAAACATAGGTCTTTTCCGGTTTTGAGTTGGCGTGTACTGGCCTCCGATTGGTAATGGGGCAGTTTTGTTGACCGTCAGTAAATTTCGTAATTTTTGTGGAACGAATATTACTTACCAAAATCCGTTTTGCATTTTAATTTTGGAAGAAGTTAAGAAAAGACACCCAGTTAGACAACCATTGTTACTAAATGTATACATATGAAATATAACGGTACACATTTTTCAGAACCAGAAACGGACGAAAATAGTCCAGGTTTTACAGATGAAGACAGTGTTTTGGACGATGAAGATAAAAGTGAAGCGATGAATATAAATGGCGAAGGAGGAAATTCTCAGCCACAGAAAAAGACTGTTGCACAGATTATGCGTGATAAAAAGAAACAGACTCAGTTAACTTTACAATGGTGAGTAGATTAATTTTGTTAAGTAGTATTTAGAACATATTTTTTGTTACGTCTGTCTTAGGCCAATGACTTTCCAAATAACCCAACAGCGCCATTCTTATCACTTGACGTCCGTCGTCTGTCATCCGCATATCAAACATTTTACATTTTCTTCACCTGTACATACATTTTCATTTTTACGCACATCTGAATTTCTAAATATAGTATTATTATACTTTATCAAACTAAAAAAGGAGAACCATGAAAATATTGTGTTTTCTGTTCGTAAGTCTGAGTTAAACGCTATTGGTTGTATGCTTTGTTCTGAAAATCTCAAACAAAGAGTTCATTTAGATTTAGAACATGTATGTCTAAAAGGGTATTTGGGTGCCGTAATGTTAGCAGCACATATCAAACCATGGCATATTGGAGCCTCTAGTTTGTATAATTCATTTTATCTATTTATATTCATTTTCATTTGGTTGAGTTTACCGTTGTAATTAAGCAGTAGCTTGTTAATGTTTTTTAAACTATACGTACAGTATTCGGCTTTGTGCTAGTAGATTTCAACAACACTGTACTATAAAATTCCAAATTGTTACTTCCAAAACAAGTCTAAGAAGATCTTCCTATTAATAGTTACTTGTTTTAACCTTACATACTTTGATTTAAAAGCTTTAAAAATCCGTTCGATTTCTTTGTTATCCCTTTCTACCTCAATTGTCCTCAGAAATTCAAATATAGATTACAGCTCCATCTACCAGGTTAAAAGACATGCACTCTTATGAGGAAATGAGTACTTGTTTTCCAAACAGTGTCAATTTTCGAAATGCTTCAAATTTAACAAGGCTTCAAATTGAAATATTAAATATTTTCTCGATAATGCCAATATTTATTAAGTGAGATGTTTATGTTTTTGATATTGGTCGTGTTTGACGTTTTCTAGAGAAAAATATTCACCAAAGTATAGAAAGTCAATACAAAAGTTGATTAGATAAAATAGTGCGATGACTCTTGTCGAAATAATTGCCCCTCTACAACGCACACGAACTGCAATACTAGAGAATATTACGCGACGGGAGAGAAGAACTTACTATACAAAATGCATATTAAGTTGAACTTTGACCAATTTAAAAATATGAAAAAGGAAATTACATCAATATGCTTTTTAAATGAGACAAAAAATGACAAAGTGTAAAATTGATTTGGTATATTGCTTCCTGTCCTACAGTCCAACCAGGACTGTTGAACTCGTTACAAATTGCGAGATTTTGGTAATTATCGTCCCTGGTATTAAGGTTCTGAGACGATTCCATGTGTCAACATTAAATCGTTTGTTTCTGAGTTATTTCTCTTTCATATCTGCAAATAAAAGATGATGTAACCATTTTGTACTGAAAAATTGTAAAATATATTTCGTTATAGGGCCAACCATAATTTCTAGCAACTTTTGAAGGGACGTATTTTCAAGATCCAAAATTTTTAGTTTGTCGTTGAGGGAGTTTTACTTTGATAATTTACCAAAGATATTGTATAAATAGTAAAAAGAATTATAGTAGCATGGAGTTTTTTTTATCATTTATTCACATTTAATCTATAACTATGACTCAATTCTAAGGTATATCACTTGACCCATGTATTTGATTTTTCTTGCAATGCGAATTTTGAAAGTTAGTTAAAGTAACCGCATCAAAGTTTTAGCAAATTCACTTTCATAAATAAGATATACAACAAACATGATTAAACAAGTAAAATATATGTATTTACAATTTTTAAGAGACTATATAAAATACATATTTACATCGATTCATATTAAACATGTAAAAGAGTAATAACTGACATTAAAGACTTGTTATCCTTTGTAAAAATTTAATGGCCGGTATTGGTAACAATATTGCATATATTGTGATTACCAAAATATAAAAACTATTGTAGAATCTGATGTCAAATGATATATCTACGAAACTCAATATGTCTGATTATATAAACTCAATATGTCTGATTATAAAAGGTTGCTTAACTTACTACTATACGAATAGATTGTTACACATTTCATGCTTTATTTCTCTAAATACTATTGCCGAGTGAACTATCATCATATACCAATATTTCATCATTTCGTAGATCTCAATTTTTCAAATTTAATTCACGAGTGTTGCATCTTCAAAAATAAAACATTAATTTCCTTCACATTAAAATCACTTGATTTATTTGTTATTGTTTGAGTTCTATAAAAAACCGCATTATTACTCTTTTTTTATTTTAAAAAGGAATAAAACTTTTTTAAACATAAAAACAGATGAAAACAAACCATGCGAATATGCTATTTTTATCACTTTTTAACTTTTATAATAGATAATTTGATTTCTATTTCACAATTTAAACTGTAATCTTAATTATATGTTTTACTTTCTGTTCTTCAGAGAGAAAATGACATTTTTTTTCAATGTAAGAATCGAATTGATTTTATGTTGTTATTTTTTTTTCTTTTTTGTGCGCTTAGTGCTGGTCTGACGAGTCAAGCCTTTTCCAACTGATCTGGACGTTTGTTTTAATGTTGTGCTGTTACACCCTTTCGCAGTGTAGGTGATGATCGAGCGCTCACATGCTTGATTCCGTAACATTTTCCATGTGCCTCTTCTAAGTCAGGAGCCTGTATCATATTTGTTTTTCGCTTATTTTTCTTACCATAAATAATGCCGCTGATTTTCGCTTCTGATTTGTTTACAAATTTTGTCATGCCGAGGCCTTAAAAAGCTTACTATACTGTTTGGGTAATTTGCTCATTGTTGAAGGTCATACATTGCCCTTAAGTTGTTGACATCCTCGTCCTTTGGTTTCTGGTGGATATTTGTCTCATTGGCAACAATGCAACATCTCTTTTTTATATATTGATTTTGTCTTATTTACAAAAAGAAGCGTTTTGACAAATCATGTGTATTTTAATAGATTGATATATGTAGTTCAATTTTCAAACAGCACGTGGCAAAACAAATATTACACCTAAACAATGGATATTAAATCTTGATAGACTAGAACATAGATTTGTCAATTGCCATTATGCATTTGAATCTACCCTCTTCAACAGAATATGCACATGAACAAAGGTGTGTTATCAGGGAAATACGTACCTATTATACATATCACCAAATCTTATATATTCTCGAGTACCTATCAATGTACCAGCCATTTTGAAAAAGCTCAGCAGGTCACAAATGCATGTTAAGCATTTGCATTTATCATAGTTGTTGGGTCAAAAGGTGATTGAAACAAGTTGATTTCGAGTGTTTATTGAAATTCTACAATCATAATGTCTTCTTGTAGTCTCTGTGTGTTAGAATTCGTGCCTGTACCCGTATAATACACCTGGTGTTCTATAAAATACATATTTAATAATTCTTATGAAATATTTTGTTGTGAGGTCATCACAGGAGATTGAGTGATTAAGATATCTTAGGGTTAAGACTGGAGATTATGGAATATTACCGAACGAATACGTCTCATTGGTTTTTCTGACTGTGTGGAGAAAAAGAAAGTTTATTGTGATATCAGAAGAGCTATGTATTATCAGTAATATTCAAAACAGTTTCTTGAGTTATATATTCTAAAACAAAGACGGTCAATCGCCATGATCGTTTGAAGAGCCTCATCCCGATAAAGGGCAGTATTTATGGACATCGAATTTTTCAACATAATAAATATTTTTGTTTTTTTTTTCATTTTCAAGCAAAAACAAAGTCAGTATTATACGCCGTGTATACTTCAGAATATGCTTACAATCTTCCTTATACATTTCCTCTTATTTCTGTCAACATAACCTGGATCGGTGACTGATTAAGTCAATAAAGTAGTTGCAAATTATAGTTTGCATAACAAAATTTAGTCCATTACTTTCTTCTCCTTATAACGAAATCAATTTCCATTTCCTTTTATCTAAATTTACTTGTAAAAAAAGATAAAGGACTACAATATAAATGTCAGAAAGAGGAAATGGCATTAGGCGTTATCGGACTACATAATCAAGTTATCTCCCTTGCTTGTAACAATGCGATAACGGCATGGCGACACATCATCTCGACTAAAACGTAATTATATTGAACGTTTCAAATACTAAATTTATACCGAGCTGATTTGTCATTCTACATAGATATTGACCTGTTGGGGGAAAAAAAAGAAAAAGAAAAGAGAAAAGGTTCATGGGCAGTAATGATATTGTTTGAACTATACACCATCTAGGCAACGTAAAAATATTAATTAAGAATTCAGAAATAATATTACTGAAAAAGAGTTCTGATATATATAGCAATGGGGAAGCAACACGACAACACATACAAAATATTTCTTAGCACCTCTGCTTTGGAAGGCTCTTAATGGTTAAACATTACATTAAACGGTGATCTCGCACAAATATGGGAAAAATTTGTGTAATGATTTGTGTAGTTATTGACGAAGAATACATAGTTGTATAACGTTATCTGATAACTTAATGGCGACAGAAGATGTCCACAGTAATGTAAACAGACAGACCAGCAGTAGCCACTTCTGACCAGTGTTTATAGAATCTTTTATGTCTAACACAATCAACATTCTTTTCTTGGATACACCATCTTTAGATTAGATCAGAAAGAATAAGTTCATTTTTTAGTATGCCATTGACATTTGAATGTCCTTCATATTTAGAAATCCAAAAACACAATAACACCAACAGCAGACTATTACTGCTTCTTTATTCAATAAACACAATATTGCATTGTTATGACACTTTTTGTGCACACTTTTGATTTCAAGATTGTAGTTTTTTTTTTACTATTGTGCATTGTAGACCCATACAAAGGTCGGTTGGTTTTGTTAGATTTGATACATAACTATTATCAATAGTTAAGGCCCGTGAATATCGAATATTGTAGACCCATACATTGGCAATCATACCACATCTCCTCATTTTTGTCGGTTTCGTTTAGTTAGATTTGATTTAAACTTAAATCAAGAGTTAAGGCCCGTGATTATCGAACATTTGATAT